AGAACTGACAAAGTCCATTAACTTAGAACCATATAATACCCCATGAAAACTACACTAGAGTTTTACTACACCTATATTTCACAATGATTCCTTCCATTCAGGGAAACAACACATAATTTATACCCTGATGTAATGAGATTCTTAGTTACATATATTTCTATTCTGTATCTTGAATACTACAACATTTTCAGGCAGTCATGATCTCAAACTTTATGCAGGAATCAAAAGGAAAAACATATGAAAGGAATTTGTTTAATTAAAACCTTGTTTACTGTGCATATATGTATTGCCTGGACTTCAACAGAACAATTTCAAATTTTTTAACAGTAAAACTTTACCATTTTCTTGTTAAGAGATATAATGTATGTTGGCAATGAAATCAAAGATTGCATAAAACATTTATAATGTAGAACATACAGCTTGAAGCTATTTATAAGTGCTCTCCACATTTCCAGGTTTGATTTTTACAGTAGCACAGCCTGAAGCACTTAACTGTAAAAACATCATCATGCCTCTCTACTGCTCCTCCTACAGGAAAATTACTTCTGTAAAGGCCAGAACCTAAGCCCCATATATCAAGGGAAAAAGCTTCATTGCTCTGAATGGAAAGAGCTGCCTGGCTCCCTGATTCTACAAACCATAAAGAAAAAAAGTTTTGCATTTAACAAAGTGAAAAAACACATATTATTTAAGATGGAAGAAAGGAAGAAAAGCCCCCCGGCTACAGATTAGAAACAACTAAGTGAAACTCCACTGGGGGTAAGAGCTGATCAGGCCACATTCTTTCTGTGTCTCACTAATTTCTGGTTTGTTTCTACCCCTTTGCAGAGTTTTCAGAGCAATTTCACAAGAGCTAACACAGCTCTGCCACCAACTACATGCTGCAGATGCAACACAGCAGCTGTGCCTGTGACAGAGGAGCTGGCCTCATCTGATCAGGTCATTTTATGAATCTCTCATAAAAGGAAGCATGCAAAATATGCCAAATGTTACCCTGAGACTGGAAATAGGTAAATGAAAAGGTCTCAGGAAGGTTCTAGGAGAAACTGGGAAGTGCACCAGAAGTGATACCACGGAAACAGCACTGATCTGACTGACAAGCTCTGTTCTTCCACGTCTGAATTTAAGTGCCAATTCATTTAGTGTTGATGATGATTTAGGGATGATTTCTGTCACTTTCATTCCCTTTCATGTACATTGTACTTACAAAGCATAACAGTTAACTCATTCACTGGCCTGAGATTTTTCTTGAAAACATCTACTAAATTGGGTCCAGTGCCTTTTAAAACATCACAAAAAAACCCTCATGTACCATAAAAAGAAAAAAACTAAAATCCTATACCTCAATCCTACTTTCCTAAAGCTTCTTAATGACATTATCTATTTCATTGTGAATTCAGTGGCTGTTTCCAGTGAAAGAACAGCAGCATTTGCTACACCACAGATTTCATAGCACATCTGCCATGGTGCTGTAAATGCATGCAGAGGAGACTGAGAAAATGCAGCAGTGTATATCAAGTAAAAGTTCTTTCTAACTAATCAAGTCCACAGGGACAGCATGCAGTGTCACAAAACATATCACTCTACAGTTGAATGAGGTTGTCAGCCACTGGGAGGCCTGCAAACTGCTGACAGCAATATGCAGTATGTGGAGTCTTCTAAAGTAGATCGAATAGCTTTGGAAAGTTCCTATCTGCTTCTACAGAAGAAGCAAAAAAAAAGAAAGAGAAGTAAAAAGGATATTTGTAAATCTACCTTTCTATGCTGTAGTGCTGTGAACAAAACCAAACTCATCTGAGTATGTCACAGGAACATGAAAAAGGTTACTTTGTAGGTTTCTCAAAAATGCATGTCTACTTTTTTTCATGCATAGATCAAAACAATATGGAATTTATTACGATACCATCTGTCAAAATGCAATGCAATATTAATTCTGACAAAAAAGGGAAACAAGAAACCTCAGATTCTGAAATCACAGAGGAAGCATGGATTCATATACTTTTTTTTTTTTTAAACAGATGTGAGAACTCAAGTAGAGCGGCATAAGTTTAAGTTTGACCGTACTCAAACTAATGGTGAAAAGTGACGCTAAAAACTTATAAGAAGTTCAAGAATAAAAGCAAAAGTTTTTTTCCCATCCTTTCCTTGTCACTGTAGGAAACTACCATGCTTTACATGGTACCATGCTTTACATACATTTACAGAAGAATTCATATAAAATCCTCATATTAGTCTCACCCCAGATTACTGCATTTACTAGAGCAAATACATTGGGAATGCATTTATTAACACGTACTCATGCAGAATAGAAACTAATATGTGACTTTGAAGACACTGGCTGTACTGCAACACTTAAGATTTTGAAGAAGTGTCTTCCCATCTAGAAGCTGCTTCTCCTGGAAAAGCCTATCAGCCTTAGGAGAGATGCCACCTTGCTCTCTGTCTTACCAAACTTTCTCTGTTTTCAGAAATTTGGGTATGTGAGCTTTGTAACTCATACAATGAAAACATAGAATTTATTTTAAATGGAAGTCTGAATATGTGATCTGCATTGTGTTTAGATTTAATTAATTTAAATTTTCAGTTTTAATTTGATGATACTTGTTGCTAATCACATGCTTCTAGTCCCCACCTTTCAGAACACTGACTCAAAAAAACATTACTTAAGTATCAATTTTATCCTTAGCATTTCCCTAGTGCTGAATTCTGAGTGGGCTTTGAAGGCGTATTTGAAAACATATATCAAGTTATACTTGTGCATACACTATTTCTGGTAGGGTAAAAACATTTATTTCTGTTTTTATTTAACTAGAGCAGCTAAAGACCTGCCCATACCAATTATATGTGACTACGAAAACTACTATGTACACGCCATAGGACTGTAGAAGGAGACAAAAATGAGTAACCTAAACCTACATAATGAGATTTGCTTCAAGAACATTTTCTTTGAAGTACTGAACTATCGAGGAACGTATTTATTTGGAGTACTTTGAACATGTAAAAATAACATACAGGCTGCACTGTCTCCGTAATGGCACAGAACCACATCTATACCCAGATGCTGCTTCTTGTGCTCAAGATGATCCAAATACGGACCTCTGCTTTAGCTGGCACTGCCTGTTTAACAGCAAGCTGTTCTGTTTAGATACTTTCTGCATTTATCTGGATAGAGTGATAAACTCAGGCAAGATTTACAAAAATATTTTAAGCTATTTTCTGGAGTAAACCATGGATTTCTTCCTGTAAGAGTGAATTTCATTTTTTGCTCTTTTCCATCTAAATCATGCAGTGTTTTAATTACACAGCTGTCTCAACAAATAGATTGTCACAGCATTTCAGACTATCAAATTCTATTCTAACTGCCAGCAGAAGATGGGATAATGTCTTCATTGGTTTGGCTTAGTTTAACCCACCTCCTTCTGTTCACTGATGAAGTGAACAACTCAGGACATTATATCCATAAAAGCAAACAAACCAAACAAAACAACCAACTTCTCCTCAACCAAAACTAAATAAAACAAAACCTTATATTGCAGAAATCTCAAGACTTGGATATATTCTGAAAATCAAACTGCTACAAAGTACAAACTTGGGACTTTCTGCAGCCAGTTAAAAGCAACTAAAAATCATTTGTAGATAGATAACAAAACATTGTGAAAATAATATGTTGGAGAAAATAAGAAATAAATTTAACATTTGTAATAAACATAGTGCTGTTCCTCTGAAATTGAGGGACCAACTACAGAAAAACAAATGAAAACAGACATACAACACCTGATCTACATGCAAACTAACATAGCCCTCAAAAGGCACTGAATCTAAAGTTTATTATTCTGTCTGACCCTGCATTTAGATAAGAAGTGGCTACATTAGGAAAAATTCAGGAATACACTTGATATGTAGATTCTTTGACGATTGCTACAGCAACTGATACTCCCTAGGTTATACTACATGCTGTTCATTTTTCCAAAATTATCATGAGATTAATTGACATCCATCATTTCTGTTTGCTAGTTTGTTTTACGCAATTTTAGTGGCTGGGAAACGCAATGACAATATATTTAGTTCTTCAAAAGGAACTGATTTTTTGCAATAAACACACATGGTATTTTTAATTGCTCACTATAGGCCAGATGAATTTAGAAGCATTTTCTAACTGTATTTTCTAACTGTATAATTTTCTAACTGTAATTCTAAGGTAATTCACTCCTCATGAACGCAGATGGAACGCAATCTTGTTTCAGAGAAAGTGCAAATCTGATTCACAGAATAGTGGCAATACACAGTGATACAAATAAGCTAATGCGTGGTAAAAATCAAAAGTTTCAGGCAACACTCAAACAAGAACACAAGGAAAAACATTAACGTTTCTTCTGATCTTTTCATCTTTCTAACTTTGAAACTAGATTATGCAATCTGTGTCAATAATAATAAACAAGCATGTATATCAGGACTTCTCTGTAAACTAAAACCCTACGATTTGCTGTTTATACCACACTTTCATTTTTATAATTTTGATTCTTTGTTTTGCTGAAATTCCAGCAAAGCTGGAGGTAGCAAATGACCTATAAGTGGAGTAAGCTTTTTGAATGAACAAATAGGAACATGTTTGGAATTAAAGGAAAGTACTAAAAAGCTATGTTAGAGAAAAGTCTTCAGGTAACAAAGATAGAAAGCGTTGACTACTGATACCAAAGAAAGATGTGCACACATCCATGTATTTCTGTCCTAAAAACAAAATTCATAAAAATGAAATAAAATGTAATTTTGTAGTAAACACCAAGTTAGTTAACCAGAAAAAAAAAAAAACATATATTTAAACAGCAGTATATTTAAAGCAGAGATTTATGAGTATTAGAGAAGAATTTTAAAATAATAGACCACTTCAAATTTGAATTTCTTAGCAGAATGAAATGACAGCAGACCTTCACATGCCATACACTTACATATTCAGAATAAATAAATAAATAAACAAATAAATAAAAAGAATCTTGCCTTACCCGGCCAACTAGTATTGGTTCAGGTCCAGAAAATTCTTCTAATACAAACATTTGATTCCAAACCCAGCCTCTCTTGGAACGGTTCAAAAGTCTTTGCTCTTCAGTTAGCCTTTTTAGTCCTGTACTGGATCCACTTGGTAGTACTTGAGATTGATTCATTGGAGCCATATAAATGGAAGGAAGTACAGTAATCCATAGTATTATTAATGGAGTCCATGTATCCATAAGCATTTCCGTTAGTCTTTCTGGCATTGTACCACAAGCTACGCAAATCACCACAGAAATGAAATTATTATTTTGCTTTCCTCCAGACTGTAGCAATCCAATTCATCATGCAGTACAGAACATTTACTTACAGCTCCTCCATGTGTTTACAGCACAGTCAACGTAAAAGTAGCTTAGATTATAAAAACATGATCCATTGAGTTTTCCAGTCATTAAGGATTCCTGGTGGGGGGAGAAAAAACAAAGGTCAAATCAGTGACTAAGGAGCTTAGGAAGAACGTTTTAAAAAATCTTACTTACTTTAATATCACAAACAAAACTTGCTAGGATTTAAATTTGTAATATGCATACTAGAGTGCATTAAACAGGTTAAAAAGAAAATGAAGTGACTCTGAATTCCTCCATTGCCTGCAATAGCCAAAGAAGACTCAGGTGAGTGCTTACAAACACTCAGGAATGCATTTTACTTCCAGTCTGTATTGGCACCTGATGCAGCTCTTGGCCCTCTTACTATCCTACACTTTTTACATAGTTAAATTTCGAACATTTAGTGTGTCAAGTAACAAAAATTTGAATAAAGTAATGTTCTTGCATATGGAGTTATCTTCTTTTCCTCCACAAGAAAAAAAGATTTACTCCTGGTAAATGTATAAAGCTCTGGTACTATGTTCTTATATCAGCAACCATGAACCTGCAGCAGCACAACAGCTCAGCAAACCTTCACAATTCAATAGAGGAACAAGGCTGGAAATTCCACTGTGAAATGCACGAATCCCAAACCACATCTCTACCAAAGCCCCAGTAAGCTGATTTACACACATCTGCAGTCCAGGATCTACAGCGTCTCTCTCACTTTCAGACAAAATACACACTCAGATTTTATCTCAAAGACATTCTCCTTCATAGGCACTTGGGAGCCTTTTGTCTTCCTTTCCTACACACCCCTTCACATATTAGAAGTCCACATCAGGTTTTAGCTCAGTGTAAATATTCCCTGAAATGGACAAGCGGGTTAACATAGCAGGGCTTGCTAATGCCATGCTGATAGGCAAAACATGAAAGGCAGCCATAGATCACTTAGCAAGATAAATGCAGGGTAGCTCAGGCAGAAGGGCTACATTACAGCTACTCTAATGAGAGTGGAGTTTTGTAAAAAGATTCCTGATACATTTTCATTGACTGATTCATATCCAAGCAATCTCAAGAGAAACCACTGTTTACAAAGTAGGTAGAACTGCGTATTCACAACCTTACACTGTACCTTAGGCTGTTTTTTCCTTTAAAATGAGTTTCTAGTGGATTTTTGTAGGACTACCAAAATATTGGGGGGGAGAGGGGGTTGTTATTTTCGGCACTGTGTGTGTTGCAGTTTATATTTTTTGGATTCAGGCAAACTCGTGGAGGAAAAAATTTGAAAATGTGAATAACGTCAATACATGTTAGCTGTTTTTTTAAAAGCAAACAAAGGAAGAAGATAGTTTTTTAAACTTGAGTAATTGCCAAAGGAGCTGTGAAATCTACTGCATGAAAATCTGAAACTGTGAGAAACTTGTCTTGTTAAAACGGGAGAAGAGTTGTTATCAAACTAAAACTCAATATCTCAAGTGCCATGGAAGAACAGTAACCTAATAGTGCAGCACTTTGACAATGCATCAAGAATGAGGAGAATACTCATTACAGAAGTAACCACGCAGCTCAGAAACATCGTTTAGGCCTCATTGCTAACTGAGATGGAAAGAAAGGAAATGGAGAATACAAAGTGCTTTTGCGAGGGAAACGTGAGAGAAGAAAGAAAGACTTTCTATCTTTCAGACTTCTTTAAATCCCAGAGGGGAGAACAAGGAACAACAGTCAAATCGCTCAGCAGGAAGGGTCTGCCGACACACCCTCTGGAAATGCCCCAGGCCAGGGAACTGAAGGGAGGCTGTTGCTGCCACTTTCTGCCAGGTGTTACAATGCCATTTTCCAGGGGGAGTGGTAGAAAGCATCAGAAGAGAGAAGCAGACAAACTTGCAATGACAGCACTAAATACTTTGTTTGTGTGGGGTTCTTGTGCACGTCAGTGGCCTTGCATGTGCATACATGTACCAAGAACAAGAAAAATCATTTTTTCAGTAGAGCAAGATTTGAAACAGAGGAGAAATAGAACCTCAGTAAAACAGAGCAACAGCTGTCATCTTCAATGAGTATGCAGGATTAAATTCAAAACTGGGGACATAAACTGAAAACACAACAGCCTTTCTATAGCTGAGCATTTTTGGTGTTAATATCCAAAGCAGTGCTTACGCCAGAAATGAAGGCCCATAGGAAACAGCCAGAATGTTATTCTGTAATTCCAGAAAGCCTTACAATGGACCAAAGTGGGTCACCTTCTTACTAGCAATAGTTGAAACTGCTGAAGATTTTCTTTGTATTCACAAGACCAAATAATAATAAATTAAAACACCTTTTTCATATTCAAAAGGCTTTTTGAAAACATTTCCTAATTAATCTGCACAGCCTCTCTTTTCTAAAAGAGATGAAACAAATGAGATAAAACACTGATGCTCACAGAAACACTTCTGTTTGAAGCAAGAACAGGATATTTGTTTTTCAAGCTGCCTCTCTGAATCTCTGGCAAGCACTGTGTTCACTTCAGCACACCTCTCTCATTCCCCTCCTCCCCAGACTTCTTATTACTCTTCACTTACTCCAATCACATTTAGGTTGTAGCCACTAGCAATAACCCATCAAAATTCACTGTGACTGGACCATCCTCACAGTAGTTCCCTATTGAGAAATACCTTAAGGCAAATGAACTGAAAAGTACACAATGATGCACACACCACGTCACTGAACCTCACTAAATGACATAATCCAGCAAAGAATACCATTATGCAAGCACGTAAATACAAGTGAATGAACATGGAACTGCAAGAAATTCTCAGGTACCAGCAGGAAAATAGGCAATGCTCGGCAGTGCAGGGTAAATAAAATAGGTAATCTGATGGGGCTTTTGCATGCATCTGTGTAATGCAGGGGATTATGACCACTGTTTAGCAGTATAGCTGGGTATGAATACCTCTACAACTGGACCTAGACTGTTGGAGCCTTTAGAGATTAATTTGAGAAAGAGATTTATTTGGGCTTCACTGCTCTGTCAGTCAATCATGGCATTTACTTGGTGCAGTGCATGAAGACTGTACTGTCCTCATATGTCTTCAACAAATTTGGAAATGATTTTTCTTCTCCATTAAATGCTTATTCCTGCATTTTCATATAGGTTATTACAAGAAGCAAGAAGTACCGAGTAGCTCAGTTATAATCCGCTGGATTAGATGTGTAGGAGCAAGTGATATGGTTTCTGAATCAGGCTAGTGTAACATTCTAAATAGCTACTTGTAAAAGGAGATTTTGCAGTCAGGGATAGCTAACAGGACTGTTTTCCCTTCTGCTATTACACTGGGGTCTAGAGCAGCAATGACCGGAATGACAGCGAAGTTACTGCAGTAAGGCCAAAGCTGCCTTGTGCTAAGCAAACAGAAGAGGACCAGCACCAGACGACAGTCAAGTAAGTCTTTTCATCCTCATAAAATTCTGTTGCTTTTGATAGAAGCATAATTTTCACTTTGAATTTTCAGGTATCCAAATGCCTCTGGGCTGTTTTCTTTAATAAAAGTTCATAATTCTTTTAAGTGATTTCCCAGCAAAGTGTATGATATGTAGAACCACAGATACAACTCTAATCCTGCAAAACTGTATACAAAACAGCCTTTGTCAACCATGCATCTCTGACAAGTGAAAATGCTATATAAAACTTAAAGAATGCATCAAAAAGATGAAAGAATGTTAACACCATGTCAGATAGCAAAGTCAGAGAAATGTCTCATTTCAAAAACATAAGACTGTATTTGTGAATTTGGTTCTCCACGCATAACGTAGGGGGAAAACAAGGATAAAGCCAAACCGTTTGTTTTCCACTTATTCTCTGTGCTGATGAACTTTTAGGAAAAGATTATTCTATTGAAGGAAAATGCACGATGGAGCACAACTCATGCCTAATACTGTACAAGTTTTACAAAAGAACAAACATAAAATGACTACCATTAAGTTCATAAGCTAACACTGCAACACAACTCCAGCCTACTGACTTCTGAAATTACCATAATACACACTGCCACCTCCTTTGGAACTAAACTCTATGCAGATTACTTGTATAAGTTGCCTCTACAAAGTCAGAATCAGGTACGACAGCAGGCAGTTATAGCAGATATTCAAATTGATGACAGTTCTCATTTTGTGTAATGCGGAGTGGGAAATTATATGGTTGCTGGTGTATTTGCAACAACTAATTTTAGAATATGTGAAACAAGTAATTTCATTACAGTTATCTAAAAATCATCTTGTAGTGCTACAAAGTGGACACTGGAATGCAGGAAACGTTTAAAAGATGAATAAAGTTTTAAAAGTCGTTTAATACATAAACTGCTCACTGAAAAAGAAGCAGGGCAAGATCACAAAAAGCTCTAAAAAAAATCAATTTATTTTTAGATTTCAGACCACAGAATATCTGTCTTGTCATGTAAACCACTTTATCAACAGGCTAGTGCATTGATTTACACCATGATCCTAGCAGAAGAGATTTAGCCATTCCCATATTTCTTCATGTAAAAGGGGATTATTTTATGATTAGCAATCAAGTTTTTTTCTTCATTTAATTTTGCATTTATCTGAGTATTCATTCTGATTATAAGTAACAGCCAGGTCATTCAACCTCACTGTTTCATTAGGGTAGATTTTGACAATTGCAAAGCAGCTGTTACAAAATTTACGGCAAACAAATCTTAGAAGCAGTACTTTAACCACAGAAATTATAGGAGGGATGCCAGTCAAAAATTGATGATCTTTGCCTAAAGCAACTTTCTTGTAGAGTTTACAGAATCTTCTACATTTTGGACATTAAATGACTCCTTCAAAGTTCATTCAGAAGGTTAGTATGAAAGTGCCACAAAATCATAAGGTAAATGATACATAAATTCAATGGAGTTCCAGTGGAAATGTTTTAGATCTCCTTATCCATTATCTCTACCTTTGATGCTTATTCAGTACGAGCATCACAACTGAAGCAGCCTCCTGCAGCTGATGAGAGGTGTTACTGATCACCTTGAGAGTTCCAGCTAGCATTATGCTACGGGACAGCAGGCAGACAGCCTTTACATTTTGCATGCTTCTTT